GCAAGGGCTCCTCAGCATGTGCATGCATATCGAATCCTGTAGCCAGAGGGGTACGCACGCAGTTAGCCTCAGAAAGGCTGAAGGACTCAAGCATGTTGAGAATGTACCTCTCCTGATGAATCAAGATGCCACTCTCATCACGCTCAATCTGCACCCCCAAATAGTATTTAGCCTCCCCCAGGTCCTTCATGCGGAAACGAGAGGACAAGAGACCCTTCACCTCGTCCAGCAAGACCATGCTCGAAGATATAAGAAGAATGTCATCCACATAGATGTAGAGAGATAGCCTGCCCTCACGCCTCACCAAGTGGTACAAGGCGGGGTCACACTCCGACCTCTCAAAGCCAAAATACATCAACGCCTCATCAAACTTGAGTACCACTGTGTTGGAGCTTGCTTTAGCCCATAGATTGACTTTCTGAGTCGGCAAACCCTGCCGGACCCATCATCAAAACCAGGGGGCTGCCTCATGTAAAGCTCCTCCTTCAAGACCCCATGAAGATAGGCAGTGGTCACATCCATATGATGGATGTGAAACCCCGAAGATGCTGCCATCCCAAGGGAACCTCTCAGGGTAGTAGGTTTACCCACCGGGGTATATACCTGGTCATAGTGAACACCTCGTGTTTGAGTGTTCCCCATGGCCACCAACCTGGACTTAGGCCTCTCAATACTCCCATCAGCCATGTGCTTATACTTCCACACCCACTGACACCTCAAGACCTCCATTCCAGGTGGCACACAAGCTGGATCAACCAGCTCAAACGATTCGTTCACCCTATGAGACTCAAGCTCCTCACGCATGGACTCGACCCACTCAGGACGGGACAAGGCCTCCTTAACCAACTTAGGCTCATGCACCTGACCCATGAGACAGAAATCAAGCCCAAGCTCACCCCCCTCAGCATCCACAAGCATGCACTCCTCCAAATCATGCACCTCATGATCATGCATGCAAGCATACTGTGCACTTGGTGTGAACCTTTCAGGTGGCCGGGAGATGCGTGTGGTGCGGCGCAGAGGTGATGCCTCCCCCTGCTCCAAACTTTGCAGCTTCTTTTTCCGAGTCACTCTCTTCATGGGGGACCGTGGTGACTTGGATAGCTGCTGCTGCAATAGTTGCTGCCACCTTCCCACAGAAACAGGCAGTGTATGCTGCTGCGGGGGCTGCTGCGGCTGCTCTCGCTGCTGCTGTTGCTGCTCTTGAGGCTGCTGCGGGTCATGGGCTGGTTTGTTAGGGTCAGGGGTGGAACCAGCAGTTGGGGAATCCTCATGGTGAGGTGCAGATGCCTTGTGTTCCTCCTGCTTCTCCTCTTCATCCTCTCCAGGGTCCTCCCATGTCCCCTCAAAAATGGAAGATGTGTAGCGATCTTGGAGGGAACTCCCAACCGTACTAGTACCATGCTCCTTCCACCCCTTGTAGCTCAGCCCCTCGTGGAAAACCACGTCCCGGCTTTCCACCACCCGCTGATCTGCCACACTCCACAACACCCATCCCTTGCTCCTCTCTGAAACCCCAAGGAAAATGCCTCATTTTGCCTTGGGATCCAGCTTCCTCCATTGCTGGTCGGGCACTTTGTATTGTGCCATGCACCCCCAGACTCGTGCCATGGACACACTAGGCACCTTCCTGGTCCACAAAAATTATGGTCTCTTGCCCCCTAGCCCCTTGTTGCCCATTTGGTTCTTAACCCAGTTGGCATATTGCACTGCTGTCCCCTTCTTCACACACTCCACAAGCTGTTGCTTTTTCGCATGCCCCATGCGTAGGTGCAGCAAATCTGCCGTCACCTGCTCCACATCCTTCCAACGGGTGCTGCAAGCGGCATCCTCAGCTTCAACCCCATGTGCCTTCTCCACGTGAGGCACACATACTGGAACAAGGTATAAACCCTTCTCTAACTTGGCCTCCATCACCACAGATCCACCCTTACGAACCGTACACCCTCCACATATGTAGTCTTGCCTAGCAAACTGAGAGCATGAGAAGAGGTTGGCTGCCAATCCAGGAACATGAAGCACACCCTTCACATGTAGCACCTCCCCCTCCTTGCCCTTGATGGTGATGGTGCCTATGCCGATTGCTTGCAGCGTATTTCCACTCCCAACGATGACATTTCTGGAGTTAGGTGGGAGGGAGTGATAGGTGGTGAAGAGGTCACGCCGTGGTACCATTCCACAAGTGGCACCAGAGTCTAGAACGAGGTGATCGGGGTCAGCCAACACACGACCAGCAAGCGCCGTCTCCTTCTCCAAGGTAAGGAAGGAGAAACCGTCGTCCGATGACTCCTCCTTTCCCTTCCCACCATCATTTGCCGCTGCTGCCGCCGCTTTTCCTTTGCTGCCCTTCTTGTTCCAGGCTCCATTCTTCATCCTCTTCTCCACCCACTCAGGCCTAGTGACAGGTGGAGCCTCTCCTGGGTAGCCTTGAGGCTTCCACCCATCTGGCCGGCTCCAACACTCCTTCCACGAGTGCTTCCGGTTGCATCCAGGGACGAGGCACTTGTCGAGCTCCTTCTTCTTCCCCCCACCTCCTTGCCGCTGCTGGTATTTCTTGGAGGCAGCCCTATCACCTGCCCCCATTCCCCCTTCAACTCCTCTACCAGCATCCCGCTTGCGAGCCTCATCAGAGACCAACACCTCCCATATCCAGGCCTTGGTCCATTTCTGTTGCTCAAGGTGAAGGTACTGCAGTAGGGCCTCGTTCGCCTCTTGGTCCAGCCCCTGGAGTGCGGTGTAGATGATCTCCTTCTCATCTACAGTGTAGTTCAACTCCTCCAAGGCTCTCACATACTCATCCACCCTCTGGAGATACTGCACCATGGTCTCCCCATCACCATAGTTGCGTTCCATGGTGTAAAACCGCTTCCTCCAGGTGAGTATGTTGAGCAACCCTTTTTGCAAGTGCCGATCTTGAACTCTCTTCCATGCTTGGGCAGCTGCTCCTTGCTTCCCCTTCAGGTCAATCAGCATCTTTAGGAGCTCTAGTTGGCCTTCCAAAGCCCAACACAGGTACTGGAACGCTTGCTTGTCCTCCGCACTAAGCCGTTGCCTTCCGGTTCGCGGTGCTGCTGATCCACCTCCACTTCCCTCACTGATAGATGAGCTAGATGCTCCCGCAGCCTCTTCTCCCACTTGGCTAGACACTCCAGCAGAGGCTTCTCCAGGGCTTTAACGCCTAGCCAAAGCGTAAACTGGAACCGCCATAGCGAAAAATCCGAGCCGCTGAACCTAGGAGGGCCATATAGTTTCTGGGCCATGACCAACCCTAGATATGGAGGTTCTTAAGCCTATTCGAAATATGACAATCGGAGGGAATGTCGCTGGCCTAACCAGCTCTGATACCACTGATGGAAAGCGCGCGAATCTGGAGAGCGTAACAAGAGATTAAGTCCGCCGACTTCGGCGAACCATTGCGTGCAGCTCACGTAACCTTAAAATACAAGCAGGTACGCGTTGGAAAGGTCTTAATCTCTAATTTCCAGAATGGTAAAGCACGTCTTCAACCAAGATGTAGGCCGATCGCTATTGCGCTTTAAGTGCGATGGGGTATCCTGACGGAATTACTTGGCAGCCATGGATTAGATCTAGGAATGGCTTAAGCAAGAGTTCAGATCTGAAAAGTGACGAGTTTGACAAACCCTACCATCCCAACCCCCACCTTATAACAATCCCCAACAACCCAAAATGCCAAACTAGCAACACCAAAGGTGTTGTAGTGGGTAGCTAAGGTTTGTTGATGCTTGATGGGTGCGAGATCAAATCCAGCTTGCAACATGTCTAGCAATCATATTTTGCCCAAGCCCTTAGCCCACAACCAGCTAGAGAAAAATACCACAACCACCTACACAATGAACAGATGCTGCACTTCGCGCGTCGACAGTTCCCACTTGTCCGTAATTTGGTGACAAGTAGGCAACGCGTGTGCGTTGGCCTGAATGGTGCCACAAAAACTCGCGGCGCTGAGAGTAAGTGTGGTGGCAATGTGAAAGATGCCACCTTGACTAATGGGAGCACAAGTTTGGAGACAGCACCTAAAATTACAAGCAAATTTATTAATCACACATCGATAAGGGCGCGCAGGCGGTCAAGAGGGTATCTACCCTGTACAGAGTAATTCAAGGCTTTTGGAAAAAAAAAAACGAAAAAAAAAAAACAAAACAAAAAAACATTAACTCCTCAGGGTTGCCTAAAAAAAATCCATTGAATAATTCAGTAAACACCAAATTCGAAAAAAAAAAACAAAAAAAAACTGGGCCGAAAGGGTGATCCTTTAAAACCACCCTTAAAATAGAGGGAAAAGGGAAAATCACGCTGATAATACAGGCCCTGCCTTAGAAATTGTATAGCGTTGTCTAGGATAGTGTAGTCTCTCATGCTCTTATAAAATCTTATCGAAAAAAATACCATGGGAAACGGTTGAGCGTAGTGCAGTAAAAAATAGTATAAATAGTTGTATTAGTGAAATTTTATAGCGGAAGTAGGAATTTTCTATAGTGGTAGTTTGTGAGAACAAGGATTTATAATAAAAAAAAGATACATGAAATATGTAGTCCTAGAAAGTATCTATTCAAAAATATATCTGTTCACTTCAACCGATCTTTTATCGAGTCGTCACCCAAAGAGTGCTTCCACTTGAGTGTTATTCGAGTAGTCACTAGACTATTTTTGCTACTGTCTGTTACACTCGCAAAAGGACGCATGCTATACAAAAGCTATAGCAATACAAAAGCTGTAATTATACTACGATAGTACTACCGTCATTGCCCGGACATAAGATAGTGTGGAATTGTAGACAGGGGTGTCTTAAATTAGGGTAGACTTTCATTTATGGATGTTCTGGTTATAAGAGACCCATGTGTGTATACGGTTTTAGACATATATGTCTTATCAATGGTCAGGGGTTTATGGGTTTCCTTCTAAACGGTATGGGTCTTCCAAGCGGTTTTACAGCATTCACACAGTATAGGCATCACATATCCATACCATTTGTACCGTAACTAGTCTCCCTCGGTCACGCCCTCATCTTCTTCATCTACACTAACAAAAGAGGGCTCTTGCTCTTCAAAGCCTGACACCCCCCAGGCGTGTTTGGCTGTCTTTTCCAGCTCCGAGGCAATCAGCCAGGGCCGCAGCCCTACGGTAGCAAGGGGTCTCTGCATATAGCATATCCAGCCAAGTTGCCATGCCAACCTCCCTGACACCGTCGGCCTGTAGCTCTTCCTCCACCTACTCCTCCTCCTCCTCCTCCTCCTCCTCCTCCTCCTCCTCCTCCTCCCTCCCCTCCCCCCCTCCTCCTCATCCTCCTCCTCCTCCTCCTCCTCCTCCTCCTCCTCCTCCTCCCCCTTGTCATCATCGTCATCGTCCTCCTCCTCTTCTTCCTCCTCCTCCTCCTCCTCCTCCTCCTCCTCCTCCTCCTCCTCCTCCTCCTCCTCCTCTCCCCCCCCCTGGAGCATGCCCAAGTAAGCGCGTGCTGTTGCCTGTGCTCCCCCGTAGAGACATGTCTTCAAACACGTCAGTGCTGTTGTTCAGGATCCGTCACTTCGAGAGCTTACGACGAATTCACTACTCAAATAAACGCAAATCCGCTAGGTAGGATATTGTGCCTTAGGCTTAGCTAGCATCTCCAATTTGAATCACTCAAAAGGATGATCTAGAGAGTGAGTGCCACTTGAAAACGTCTAGTTGCTGCATGACTAGAATGATGGAGGAAGTACAAACATTAGAGCATAGAACGTTGGAGTTGGGGACTCCAAAAGAACCATGAGAGGGAAGAGGTTCTCTAAGGGCTAGAGAAGGATGGTAGGAACCTTCCTAGCAGCAAGGATGCAACCCTCATCATGAGGTCCTTGAGGTGTCACATGCAAAATCCAATCTAGTTGGAGTTTGCCTAGGTGTTACAACACTTGCAACCCATGCTAGAAACTTCTAGCCACCCAAATCCAAAAGTCAAAGTTTCATTCCTAACCACCAAACCAAAGATCCCTTTATAGTTATGTCCCAATAATCACCCAATGTAGATAATATCTCAAAATGAGATAGAATTCCCAAAACTTGGAAATCTTGTAACTTGGGCGATCTTGGTCGAAATAAGACGATCTTGGTATCGTTGGAAAGCTCTAGATTTCTCCTGCATGATCAAACATGTAGACTTGGACAAACACACAAAGATGGTAAAATCCAACAGCCATGCACAATGACATATGCTCATGCAAATAATGCAAGCACACATAGCACGAGCACACGGCAATACGTTAGGATGACATGCAATCGGAATGACGTGCATCCATCAAACTCTCCCTTAGACTAACGAACGGACTGCATGCACACACACTCACAAGCATGCAAACACTCATGCATACAAACACGCATGCACTCATGACACTGCTGCCCACACTAGTGCAATGCCATGCCACATATCTTAGCACACTTCCAATGCGCACTCTCCGGAAGTCTCTTGGTGAGAAAATCTGCCGCCTGCTTGCTAGCCTTCACATGGTGAAGCTCAACAATCCCCTCCTTCACCATCTGCCTCACCCAGTGCCACTTAATCTTCATGTGCTTGTTCAGCCCATTCAGGATAGGATTATTGGCCATGCCAATAGCGGCTTCGCTGTCAGAGAAAATCGGTGTAGGTCCCTCCTGTTCAGCTCCCATGTCCTCCAGCAGCTTCCTCAGGAGCACGATCTCCTTGATGGCATGGTACATCGCCATGTACTCTCCCTCTGCTGAAAACTGAGCAATCTCACTCTGCTTCTTGGACCTCCAGCTCACTGGTCCACCTCCGACCATGCACACAAAGCCGCCAACTGATAACTGATCCTCCTCCTCCGAGGCCCACGTAGCGTCGGTGAAGCACGACAGCTTCAAGGTTCCAGGCGTGATCACATCTGCTCCAAATTGTTTCAGTTGACCGCCAGCTGAAAACTGAACACCAGCAGATGCCGTTGATCCGAGGTAGCGCACCAAGCGCTTTGCCACCTCTAACTGCTCCTTGGTGGGTCGCTGCACAACTCTGGCTAGCAGCCTCACTCCAAATGAAGCATTAGGTCACGTATGCACAGCAGCATAGATCACACTCCCAAAAAGTGACTGGTACTCATTCTGCTGCTCATCCTCTAGCACGTCATCCTCCTCAGCTGTCTTCTTCAATTTGAAGCCCGCAAGGAGCGGTGTCATCACAGTGCGACCTCCACTCACAACATAGCGCTCCATGACACCAGACATATAGTGTGACTGATGCACCTTCAGCCACCTCCTCTCAACATCCCTCTCAATCTGTAGCCCCAAGTAGTACTTGACATCCCTTAGCATCTTGCACTTGAAGTTGTCCATCAGCAACTTCTGTGTCCTTTCAATCTGCTCCATATACCCAGCAGCACCTCCTCCAGCTTCTCGTACCAGCACCTGGGCACTTGCCTAAGGCCATAGATAGCCTTCTTGAGCTTGCACACCCGGCTGGTCCCATCCTCATAGCCGTCGGGCTGCGCCATGTAGATATCCTCCAGCAGCACACCATTGAGGAACGCAGGTGTGATATACATCTGCACGTACCATCCCTTCACAGCTACGCCATCCAGCAAAGTCCTTAGTGTCACTGGCTTAGCAACAGGAGCAAAGATCTCCCTGAAGTCGACCTTCTCTTTCTGCTGAAACCCCTTTACGACCAAGCGGCTCTTGAACCGCTCCAACGCACCATCAGCTCCACTCTTCACCTTGAAGACCCACTTGCTGCTGATCGGTCATCACCCCTTAGGTAACTCAACAAGCTCCCAAGTCACGTTGTCAATGAGACTGTTGAACTCCGCATCCATGGCAGCCTTCCACTCCTCCTTCTGGGGTCCACTCAGTGCCTCCTCCACTGTGGCTGGTTCTCCAGGCAAGGGTGTGAAGAAACAGAAGGCCATCTCCTCATCCTCTCCCTCATCTGCGTGAACCAACCGCCATAGCACCTTGCTTGGGTCCTCCCAAACGGCTGTACTTCAGCCTTGTAGGTGCCGCTGCCACTCTCTTCTCGCGGGTTGCAGTCTGCTGCCCATGTGGTGAAGCTCCTTTCTGCACACTCTTCTTAGTGACCTTGGCTGATGCAGCATGCTTGGGTTGAGATTGTGAGTCCACCCGTGTCGACTCATCCTCCAACCCCTCCTCCGCAGCAGGACCAGAAACTTGCTGCTCACCACCGCCACTATGGTCACTGGTCAGCTCTGACCCATGGAGGTCGTCAAGGTGCAGCTGAACCTCCTCCACTGCAGACCGCTCAATCTCCTGCAGACGCAAGCCAATCTGCACCTGCTGCTGATGTTGCGAGTCCTTGTACATGACGTCCTCCACAAACTTGACGTCACGGCTGACCAGCGTCTTCTTGCTCTTGGGGTCCCACATCAGCCACCCCTTCGAGTCACGACCATCCCAAGATGGACAGCTCACACAGCAGCCACTTCAAGCTTGTGCCTCTGCTCCTTAGTTACCATCACAAGCCCGATGCAACCCCATACCCGTAGCATGTCAATGGATGGCTTCTTCCCAAGCCAACGCTCGTACGGCACCCAGTGCTTGTCGCCAACACGCATCAAGACCCTGTTCTTGACTGTGATGGTATGGCGAACAGCTTCAGGCCAGAATTTGTAGGACATCCTAGCAGCCCCCAACAGAGTCTTAGCCGCCTCGCCAATGGTCCGGTTGGCACGTTCAGCTATGCCGTTCTGCTGCGGTGTTCCTGGGCAGGTCAGCTGGTGTCGGATGCCATTCCTCTTGAGAAACTTGGTGAATTCCGCTCCAAGGAACTCTCCACCACGGTCACTCCTCAGCACCTTCACTAGCTTTCCGCATCGCTTGCCGCTCCACCATCGGCAACCAATCCTCCTTGATCGCCGCTGCAGCATCGCTCTTCTTGGACAAGGGACGTGCCCATGTGAACCGGCTCTATTCCTCCACCATGGTGAGGAAGTATAGCACTCCCCTAGTCCCTTCCGTCCTCATAGGACCCACCAGGTCCATGTGCACCACCTCCAAGGGTGCCTTTGCCGATCCCTCCGCACATGGTAATGGGAAACGCGCAAACTTGATTTGCATGCACGCCTCGTAGCTGTCCAATGAAGCGCCATCTCCTTGCAGTTGCAGGCCGTGCACGCACTTCTCCTTGTGCATCACCTCCAATGTAGAAACAGCCACGTGTGCGAGCCGTCGATTCCAAGTCTCCCAATTTGCAAGGCCCAAGGTAGCCGGCAACTTCACCGCCGCACTTCCTCCAATCAGCTCCTCTCCTTGCACACCTTGCTCCTCCTCCTCGGTGACGCTCTCCTCCATAGTTGTCGCTGCTGCCGCCTTGCCCGATTTCAGCCAAAGGAGGGAGGACCGGGATCTGCCACATGCGCTTGTGGACATCTCCCTTCCGCTGCAGGTCCCAAATGAGGCGCTCGTCGTTGTAGGCACGATAGCGCTCCGAGCCAATCGTCTCGGTGTTCACACCCGCATCTCCCAATCGGCCGGTAGAAATCAGGTTCGCGCACAAGTCCGGCACCTACAGTGTGTTCTTCAGCCCCACGAGCTCTCCATCCGCTCCCATGAACTTGGCGCATCCCATGCCCATGACCTTGGCCTTGGCGCCCGTCGCAAATGTGACCGTAGGGATGGGTGTGGGCTGAATCTCATCGAGCAGGTCCGCACAAAGAGTCATGTGCCAGGAGCTTCCCGAGTCAATCACCCAATGGGTGAGGGGGTGTAGGAGAACCTTGGCAGCCATGGCGGGGTCGGTTGCGCCTTCGTTCACGAAGAAGAAGAACCCGGCCTTCCGCTCCTCATATTCGCTACCTTTCTCCTCATCCTTCTCCTCTCCACTAGCTCCCATGACTCCCCCACTCCTCTTGCCACCATGCTGGTTGCTTGATGAAGGCGGGGTCCAATCCTTGGGTCGTTGGTAGCACTTCCGCCAACGATGTACACGCTTCTTGCAGTAGAAGCACACCTCCCCTTGGTCCCCGCCGCCATCCTCCTTAGGGTTGTCCTTGTTCTTGCCCTTCCACTTCTTCTTGAAGCCGCTCTTTGCACCTCCAACTTCATAGCCAGTCCCCTACTCCGAGCGCTCCACACTCCGCCGCCGCAAGTCCTCCTCAAGAATGCGCGCGCGAATGTAATCCTCGCTCCACTGGGTCTGCTGAGAGTTGAGGTTGATCGCAAGGGCAGACCACGACTCCGGCAGCCGTATCACGATCTCCACGCATTGCACGAGCTCCGGGTACACCACACCGCCGCCTTGGAGCTTCGTGAAGATGTCGCGCATCTCGTCCAACACCGGTTGCATCGGCTCTCCATCAACGAACTTGATGTCGCGCAGCCGCCGCGCGAGTAGCACGATGCCGGTAGCGTGTGTCGGTGAGTGCACATCCAGAAGCTTCCTCCAAGCCTTGGGGTCATGCTCTGGATCACCCAAGAGATCTTTGATATGGTCAAGTTGTCGTCCGCCAACCGCTTGCACCATGAGCATGTACGCGTCGAACGAGCGCTTTATCCATGCTTCTTTCAGCTTCGTGGCTTCCGACATCTTCTCCTTCCCCTCCACCAGATCCAATAGCTTGTATTGTGTGTACATTATCGTCATGCGGAAGCTCCAGTGCTCGTAGTCCTCCCCCATGAATTTCTCGATAGAGAACGCCTTCACTGGATCCACGGTTGTTGGAGATGGTGTAGTAGACGTAGGTAGCGTAGGATTGGCTGATTGGTGAGTCCCCAATCCACCACCAGCAACTCTCCCTTGCTCTCTAGCCTCTCTACCTCTAACCATGTTGCCATTAGCACCTCTGGAGTCTGTTCCTGTCATACTGAGGCCTTATGAACGGTGGAAACTTGAGAAATCATTTGGAGAGAATTCTACTAGAAATTTTGATTTACAAAATCACCGTCGCGGACCGGATACTTCGATTTAGAAGGCGGTTCAACCACCAATCAAAATTTCGTGCGCAGAGTTACTTGGTCTCATTGGTCAACATTAGTTGAGAATTGACTACGATTCGTCGTCTCAAAGTCGACTACCCGCTCTGATACCACTTGTTGTTCAGGATCCGTCACTTCGAGAGCTTACGACGAATTCATTAATCAACTAAACGCAAATCCACTCTGTAGGATTGTGCACCTTTGGCTTAACTACCATCTCCAATTTGAATCACTTAAAAAGATGGTCTAGAGAGTGAGAACCACTTGAAAACGTCTAGCTGCTGCATGACTAGAATGATGGAAGAAATAAAAACATTAGAGCATAGAATGTTGGAGTTGGGGACTCCAAGAGAACCATGAGAGGGAAGGGGTTCTCCAAGAGCTAAGGAAGGATGGTATAAACAATCCTAGTATCAAGGATGCAACCCTCATCATGAGGTCCTTGAGGTGTCACATGCAAAATCCAATCTAGTTGGATTTTGCCTAGGTGTTGCAACATTTGCAACCCATGCTAGAAACTTCTAGCCACCCCAATCCGAAAGTCAAAGTTTCCTTCGTAACCACCCAACCAAAGATCCCTTTATAGTCATGTCCCAATAATCGCCCAATGTAGATAATATCTCAAAATGAGATAGAATTCCCAAAACTTGGAAATCTTGTAACTTGGGCGATCTTGGTCGAAATAAGACGATCTTGGTATCGTTGGAAAGCTCTGGATTTCTCCTGCATGATCAAGCATGTAGACTTGGAGAAAAACATAGATATGGTAAAATCCAACAGCCATGCACAATGACATATGCTCATGCAAATAATGCAAGCACACATAGCACGAGCACTCGGCAGGACGTTAGGATGACATGCACTCAGAATGACGTGCATCCAACAAGTGCTGCTCCTCGTGCACATGTGAGATATCACCAAGTGATTCTCCGTCCTGACGAGGTTGCTGGAGATGCCGCATGTCTTGCTTGCGCGGCACTTGCTGCCATGTCTCCGAATCCACTGCAGCACCACCTGTTGCGGAGGCCTCTTCAAGTTCCCTGTGGGGAGATGAGAGGGCATAATCAACAGAATGTGAGTGCTAGTGTGGATGAGGGAATATTCAACGATGGAGAGGCAGATTCAAGGATTAAGGAAAGATTCAAGGGATGAGAAGGCATGTGGTTCAACAACTAGCCCCTTGGCGTCCTCAGGTTGATGCCATGTTGCATGAACCACCTCTAGTAGCGGGCTCGCACCGCAGATTTGAAGCAGCGGTTTATTGACACGTCGAATGGTTGAATCTGGCTGGTGCAGCCTACAAAGTTGACGACCGGGGTGATGCACTGCTTTCGATACATATGCAGCATCCCTTGCGTGATGTGCTCGCGGTTCGAATCGAGCATCAGCATCGAATGCCACTCCGATTGCCCTTTCTTGGGGTCGAATTAGGGCAGCATCTCCTTGGCAAGCCACGTCTTCACCGCCATCTCATCCATCCACCCATTGTCTAGGGCTTGGACCATGATACTTGCCGAGCAAGGTCAAGGATCTGGGAGCAGAACAATGGTCATGGTAACGCATCAACACATGCGTAAACTCAAGCGTAAACACAATGATTAAAGAACTCGTTCGTTTGAAAATGTCACACTTAGGGATGTTTTTCATCTTGAACCACACCCACGACCCATGAGGCTGTGCACGCAAACATTACGGTAAGCCGCTGCTTCTCGTAGCCAGCCGTGCGGATGGGGACAGACTGTGCGCCTCTGTGGTCTATGGTCCTCTACGCCGACATCTCCACAAACAGCGGCGTTTGATCCGCGTTGATGATGCGCGAAGTCTCGATGTTGTGACGTGCACGCTGGATGCGAACGAACTTCTAGAAGGCTTCACAGTACTTGGCGCACTCTGCCAAGAGGACGAAGAAGAAACAAGCAGAGGTTAACACACCTTACGAATTACGTACATATACGCAAAGCAATGATGTGGTGGCATCGGTGAGAATACGTTAGGAAAGAGCACAACCGAGGGCAACAGGCAAGAGAATCACTCACCCTCCGACAATATATGCCCAACCTTCATCTTCACCCTCATCACAAGGTTCCAGCGGTCGTGGAATCACTAGCTCCAGTGCGAGCAGGCGTTCTAGTTCTTGTCAGGCTTGTTTTTCTTCATCCACTCTCGGCTCCACCGCTGTGTCTCTTTCACCAAGATCAGCACCCCCTTGGCGTGCTCCAGGAAGATGTGGTAATAGAGGGCTTCTTCCATGTCGGGGTGATGCGAGTGCCGGCCAGCACCGTGTAGGCGCTTGCGACAGTTTGTAGCACCCTTGTACACGCTGGACTGCGCCTAACCTATTCACCGTCGGATTGATGCAATGCTGGCGAAAGATTCACGTGCCGTTTTCTTTAGGGACCCGAGCTCCAGGTAGCATTGCACCCATTTGTTTTTCTCCTTGACGCTCCAGCTCCTCCTGGCCCGTTTCACACCGCGACTGCGTGGGGAAGGTGGACGAGCATCTGCATTAGCAAGAGTGGGGTCTTTAGGATTTGTTTTTTCAAGGAAAGAGGGAAGGGGTCCAACAGCCTCAGCGTAGTCATCGTCGCTGACGCAAACCTCGTTGACGGAGATGCCTACCTTTCCCTTGTCCCCCGCGACCCGCGACTTCCTCTACTTCACTGTCTTATTGGTCTCAGGTGCTTCATCGATCTTCCTCTTCCCCTTCTCAGCCTTGGTGAAGCGTCGTCGTGGCTCCTTAACCAGGCTGTCATCGATCTTCCTCTTCCCCGTCTCGGCAGTGATGAAGCGGTGTCGTGGCTCCTCTGATGGGTTGTCATTGTCCAAGAGCACCACCTTGATGCGTTTAGTGGTGTCGCTAAGCCAATGATGCACCTTCCTCTTCAGCAGAGACACCTCATCATCAGTGAGTCGCCAGGGTTCGTCGTCCTCCAGGGCGTCTTCTCCTTCGAAGAAGACTGCATCTGTGCCAGCATCAGCAGCACCCTCCGCATGCCTTCCCGTATCTGCATCTGCAGTCGATCCCGCATCCGCATCCACAGCATCCGAAGTTCTTGCCACTTCCGCATCTGCAGTTTCCGCCACGCAGCATTCGCAGGTTCTGCTGCATCTATGCTTCTATCATTTTCACGGTCTCCGGCGCGCCATACTTCCACGTCGTCGCCATCACCAATGGGGCGCGTCCATCATTTGTCTTCGCCGATCCCGCCAGCGGGTCAGTCACTGGTCGAGGCGCTGTCATTGTGCACGTTCTCTGGGCAGTCCTCTTTGTCCTCATCTCCTTGGTCCGCGTCGGCACAGCTCACATCTGAGCCGGCCTTAGAGCACCCATTGCCAGGCGAATGTTGTTGTTCACATGAGCGTCAAATTGAGGGAACGGCGATCTTTCAGGGTTCTTCCAGCCGTGAGGTAAGGTGAGCAAAGTTCAAGCTCCATGAGCTGAAAATGACAATCCAGCCCGACTTTCCCCCTACCCTCAAGCCCCACTCCAGAGGCCGGCGAGCCGCTCCTCTACGAGGAATGTCCTCGTACAGGACAGCTCTGGAGAGCAGGCAAGCTGCCCTCGTGCTGCCAGCAGCGTGCTGGAGGCAGCTTTGCACTGCTGGCAGCAAAACAACATTGGCAGCATCCAAAGATGCTGCCAGCAGGGAAGGATTTCGCCAGCACAGCCAAGTTTGCTGCGTCTCTCACGTGACACAATGATGGCAGCGAATGCATCACCCCCAAAGTCGCCCAAATTCACTGAAGCTCCCACTTGGGTGATTTATGCACAGTTTGTACACGTTACAAAGTACATTTAAAATCTGTTTACCTATGAATTACATAAAACACCCATAACATTCCGTTTACAGGATAGCCTTAACTTTTCTTCTTCGGGTGTATGAGACAAGACATACCGTAATCACCCGGACATACCACCCTAGGGTGCTATGATAACTACAGCAAAAAAAGGGGGGAAAAAGCTACATTACACCCGGGCCTTTTTATACGGTATTTTTTAGTGTAAGGATTTTGATGCAAAGACAACTGGGGTGTTTTCAGAATTGGTTCAACATCACAGCTAGAAGCGAGAATGTGGGTTTTGGCGAGAACCTTTTCACCCCCCTTAAAATTGTCAGGGGGCACCTTTTTGGCCACTTGTTAGCGAACTATCTACCAGCGGGGCAGCAGCGTAAAAGAGGGAGGGGGGTGATTTCGACAGATTCTTTCGAAATTGCCATGTAGTTTCATCGAGGAAGTGATTTCCGCGATGTTCTGCGGTACTCGTTAACAGCTATAATTAGAAACTTTGTAAGAAAAAGGGGGTGTTATAGAAAATCACCCCAAAAGGGGGGTATAGTAGAAACGAGGTCCGCTATAGCACCCACCCCGCACAAGCCACCCGGGGGGTCTTCAATTTCGGCGGGTGGTATGTCCGGGTGATTACGGTATATGTCTACTATCTGGGCAATGGCAGTAGACATACCGTATGGCCCCGGATATAAGCGCCGTCCGATTAAAGGCGCCGGCGCTTCTATCTGGAGCATGGCGCTTATAGAGGATCCTCGATTAGAAGCGCACCCCTTTTCAGGTCTGAACTTATTATAAGCGCATGTGCAAAGTCTGATATCTACTTATCATTCTAATTTCACAGAACATTACATTTTTTAAACAATTCCTAACAAGAGTTGTTTCACCCTATCAATTTCAAGGTTCATACACAACAGCCTACTCAGGTTGAACCAGCTACTCAGGTACTACATACTAGCTACCTACTCCTCCTCGTCAGACTCGGGCTCCTGGCAGTTGTTGCCAAAGAAGCCGTCAGCGATGATGTCGTCATCGACATCGACTTCACGAGTCAGCTGGCTTCGCCTGTGCGCCATGGCAAGCGAGTCCTCGCTGCCGTCAAGAGCGTTGCTGATGCCACAGGTGAGGAAGGCGCGCTTGATGAGGTCCGCGGGCACTGCCTTCCATGCCCGCGAGATCCACTTCACTACCACCGCAGGAGGCGGCTTCTTGAGGTTCCCTGCACCAACAGGCAGAGACACATCACTCTCATCAGTTTTAATAAACGGTTCACGAGAGCATGTCAAGGAACGACTGTAGTTCTTCTATGTAAGCTTACCTGCTGCTGTCAGTCGCTCTTGGCCTTCGTCTTCAAACCACTTCTGGTACTGCTGGCGGACGGAGGCCTTGAACGACTTGTTGATAGAGACGTCCAGCGGCTGAATCTCCGCCGTACAGCCTGCCGGGATCACCGCCGGCACGATGTTGAGCTCGGCGAACTTGTCCTTGACCCCTTGGGTGAGGTGACCGCGGTAGGAGTCGAGGACCACCATCGCGCTCCTCGCCTGCCTGCCGAATCGAGGCCTAAGAAACGGTTGGACGCACTCCTCCAGCCATCGGATGACGCCTTCGGCGTCCATCCACCCGTTCTCGTGGCAGGCGACGACGACATCTGCACAACGATACACAGGCAGGGTGGTTAGCGACGATTTAGTAAAGCAACGAATCAACCCATTTAAAGTGCAATTTCTTACCGGGCGGGAAATCTCCCTTCGGCACTGTCTTGCGCTTGAAAAAAACCCACGGTTTGAGTTTCTCCCCATCCGCCGTGCACGCCAGCATCACGGTGACGCGCTCCTTCTGGTATCCCGCACTCCGGATGGGCACCGACCGCACGCCTGTCTGTTCCACGGTGGTGGTGGCGGGCATCTCCAGCCACAGCGGCGTCTGGTCGGCGTTGATGATCCACGTAGTCTCGATGCCGCGCTCACGCCGCCTATCACGCACGTACTGCCAAAACTTGCGGCACATCTCCGCGACATCTGTAAAAAAACGAGGCAAATAAAGAAGATGCGTCAGTATACATGAACTGGAACGACCCACAGGCTTGATACACGGTTAAGACTTACGGGCTGCAGTTTTCTGGGCGACGCGCGTCTTCATGCGGACGCTCAGATTCCACCGCTTCCGAAACCGTTCCGACCACCGCTGGCTGCCCTTCCACTTCACAAGCGGGTAGAGCAGCTTCATGAACTCGTGCGACCACTCCTGCAGACGGCCGACGGAGACTGCTGTTCCCTTGCGGCGCCACTCCAGTAGCTTTTCGTACACCTTCAGCTCCATCGGGCGGTACCATGAAGACCTCCCGCGGCCGTGCATGCGCTTCCGTGCGGCGTGCACCTCCTTGAGGAAATCGGCGGCGCGCTTCCACTCCGTGAGACACTTCCGGTGGATGCCGCTTTCTCGAGACAAGGAGCGCACCGACACCCCCACATCCAGCCGCGCGACCCACTGCAGTTTTTCTTGCGCAGTATAAGCTTGACGCTTATGCTGGTTGACTTTGTTCCTGGGAGAGGGGGGGCGGGCATCACGATTCTCAGCAGAAGGGTGAGGTCGCTTGCGGTTAACAGGAGGGAAAGTCGGAATCGGGAGTTTCTCAGGGAGCCCATCGCGAGACCAGTATTCGACGCCGTCGTCGTCGGCGGCGCCTGGTTCACCCTCGGGAAACACATCGGCCGCGGTGCCAGCCTCGGTTTCGGCCTCCGTGCCATCCTCGGCACCGTTGTCGCCCTCGGCACGACCTTCTTCCGCGGCGTCAGCCACATCGTCGTCGGCGCCGACGGCAGATTCGTCCCACGTGCATTCTTCGGGCGCGCCCCATCTTGGTGCAGGTGCCGGAGCCCGTACATACACGTCTGGACCCTTGTTATTGTCCGGTTCAGACAGGTACTCGTCGAAGGCGGACGGGAGCAAGAGCGTAAGCACGGGATGATTCCCAGGCGGTTGTGGGAACGCCTGATACGGAGGAGCAGGAGGAGCGGGAGGAGCGGGAGGAGCGGGAGGCGCAGGAGGAGCAGGTGGCGCAGGAGGAGCAGGAGGCTGTGGTGGCGATGGTGGTTCTGGTGGGATACGTGTGTACCATCCGTCAGCGTCAACTGTGTAAGCGGGCCTAGGTTTTTTCTTGAAAAGGAAATGAGTGCCTGTGAATTCCGCCATGGCTTCCGCAGCCAGGCGGGCGTGAACAAGAAAGTGAATGGGAAACGCAAAGCATGAATGAAGAAATGAACGATTGAAGAGGACCCCTTCAGGAAAGCGCCTCGGGGTCCTCATCAATGAAAGACGAAAATCACCCTGCCTGAACCCGCAGAGGAGGGTTCATGGCACCAGACGTGCTGTGCTGGCAGGGCATATTCCACACCCTTCGAGAGGGTTCGGATGAGTTGTCCTGCCTGGCCGCGCATGACAACCCGATTGGGCCGCACGACAGCTTTTGTGTCAGCGCTGGCAGGTGCGCTGCACTGGGACGTGAAGTGTGCGGTGGGGAATCGAATCGCGGCGAATAGCGCGAGGATTCCATGCATGACCCCACGTGAACGGCACATCGTTGTGTTCGCCTTATTGCAAGCTTCATTTTGGTACCCTTACAAACAAATTTCATTTTTGCCATTATAAAGGCGCCGGCGCTTATGGCCGTTACTCGATTATAAGCGCACCCAAATAAAATCAAGATTTTATTATAAGCGCATCTGCGCTACTATCCGGGGTATGACGGTAAAATGCATAAACTCCATTTTAGCATGAATACCAGTAAGAACCGGTATCACAGCACAATGGCATTGGAAGTACAAGCCTTTACCATGCCACAACAGTTCACTTTACACACTGCTTAAGCTAGCTATTCTGCCCCACTCATGAGTCCATCTCCCACCCTTCCAGAGGCTTCAATGTAATCCCTCTCTTCACATCCACGCAGTGCATGAGTGGCACACGCGGGTCCGCAGCTACCACCTGCTCCATCACCTGCGCCTGCCCGTCCGGACAGCGCTCATTTGTTGGCGGGAAGTGCAGGCACGGCTCGGGCGGCGCTCGCTTGCAGGCAGGGCCGACGAACGTGGTGCGGGGCACGCCGAAGAGCGAGGCGCAGAGGTAGCCGAAGGTGGAGACCTCGGAGATGACGAGGGCGTCGGAGAAGAGCGCGAGCGTGTAAATATCCACCATGGCTCGGTCTACCCCCGCATTGTCGCTGTTGTTCTGCTTCTCGTCGATTGTTAGCCGGACTATGTGCACGTCGGCGCCTGATGCGCCACCGCTGCTGCTGTTGGTCGTGCCTGTGGCTTCGCCTGCATCTGAAGTTTTAGGTTCAGGAGACGTGGTTGACGCAGCAACAGCAGCTGCAGGAGACGCAAGAGCAGGAGAAGCAGCAGAGGTGGTGTTGATGGGCGGTAGTCTAACATCCATGGCAGCATGTGTGACGTCATCCCCCACACTCACTCGCACTGCACTCATGTTGCCCGTCACTGCCTCTGAGAGGTTATGCACCAGAGCAGCGTTCAGAGATGCCACCATCACCTCTGTCACATTCCCTGATAGCTCCCATCTTTCCCCTAAATCCCGTCTTTCCCCTCCCCCAATTTCGCCCCCCACCCCCCTACCTCCCCCACCTGCTCCCCCCTCTGCCCCGAGCCTCATCTCCCTTGCCTCTTGCACAACCGACGCAGTGAGAGCATCGAGCAGACACCGACCCATGTTCACCGTGCCGTACTGCATTCGACCTTCGCTCGCGTGGGAGGGGAAGCGCCCCTGCAGGCCGACACGAGCGGGCGCGGGGGCGATGAGGGTGTGGAAGCGGTGGGTGATTTGCGCCCAGATGCGGTTGTGGGGGAAGAGGAGGAGGCGGGAGAGCGAGCGAAAGGGCTGGTGGGAGTGGAAGAGGAGGAGCAGGCGGCGGCGGAAGGAGGGGAGGAGGTAGAGGGCGGGCAGGAAGTATTGGTTGGAGGAGAGGAGGAGCGTGGGGGTGCGGGAGAGCCATTGCTGCTCGGATTCGCAGAAAAAGAGGAAGCCAGAAGGAGGGGTCGTGTGAGCAATGTTCACTAGCAGACTGACGGGAGGGGGGAGGGTGGGGGAAGACGGGGATGGAAGTGAGGGGGGATTCGGAGAGTGTCGGGTTGCGGGAGGCTGCTGGGAGGCAGAAGACACTGCTGTTGGTGGGATCCACTCGTACATTGGGAGAGAAAGGGGGCAGGGGGAGAGGGGAAGGGACGGGGGGAATATGGAAGAGAGGATATAAAGGGCGAGGGGAAGGGGCGAGCCATTGCTCCACGTCCTTCATATGAAGGGAGGGGTAGCGTGAAGGATATCCACTAGAGGACTGGTGGGGGGAGTGGCGGAGGATGGAGGAACTGGAAGAGCGAGGAGATGGGCATGAAGGTAATGTGGGGACCTGTGAGAGATGTGTCATGAGAGACGGCATTGAGCTATGGCCACTGTAGAACATGGCAGTCATAAAAGTACATGGGCATGGCTCATAAAAAAGCATGGGCATGGCTCACACACATGGGCATGGGAAAGGCACACATCGGCATAACATACACACAATGGCATGGCACACACACATCGACATGGCACACACATGGGTATGGGATAATGGCACACACACACGGGTGGCACACACATATGGGCATGGCACACACACATGGGCATGGTACACACACATGGGCATGGTACACACACATGGGCATGGTACACACACATGGGCATGACATACATTGGTGGGATTTCTTCCTCCCCTTCAGCTGGCGTTTTCGATGGAGTGGGTGGGGATGGGAGTGCAGGTGGGGGGGTGGTGGTGGTGGTGGTGGTGGTGGTGGTGGTGGTGGTGGTGGTGGTGGTGGTGGTGGTGGTGGTGGTGGTGGTGGTGGTGGTGGTGGTGGTGGTGGTGGTGGTGGTGGTGGTGGTGGTGGTGGTGGTGGTGGTGGTGGTGGTGGTGGTGATGGTGGTGGCGGTGGTGCTGGCGTGTTTGGGCTCATGCTTTGTAGCAGACGCCGCCGCTGCCCTGCATGCTGCGATTGACGATCCTCCTCTTGATCCCCAACCCACTGCTCGTGCCGCTGCCGTTCCCACTCCCTCTGAACCGACTCCAACCTCTCCACCAACCTCCTCCGCCGACCTCCCTTGGCCCTCTCATCCCTCCCCTCACGCACGGAACGCCACTCCCTAGCCACATGCAGTCCCAGCACCTGAGCGTAGTGGTCCTCCAAGTGCCCTTCCCGCCCAAACAGCACCCACGACTCGCCATGCTCAAACGGTTCACACAGCACAGCAGCGGGGCCGCCCTTTGAACTCAGCAGAAAAATCCGATCGGTCAGCAGCGCGTAGGCAAAGGAAGAAACGAGGGAGAGAAGGCGGTTGCCCTGGCCGTCGGAGGAGTGGTAGTAGATGAGGTAGCGGCACGCGGTGGGCTTGCCGGCCAGCAGGGTGGAGCGCAGCTGATCGAGCGGCTCGCGGTGGAGGCACTGGCGACGGTACGTGTGGTACTGCCGTAGCTTCACCTGCAGCTGCTCTGATACCACGTGCTGCTGCTGCTGCCCGGCTGTCTCGAAGACATAGTTATCCGTGTTGCCTTCATCTCCCCCTTGTTGTTGCGGCTGCTGGTGCTGTGGGAATAAGAGGCCTGCCCGTGTGCGCCTGCTGCCTGCATAGCACGCCAGCTCCGCACGACTCCAGCACTCCCCCGCCCGCCGCTCGTACCGCAAGTGCTTGCTGCCCCCGCTGCTGCTGCTGCTGCTGGAGTTGGGAGAGGTGCTATCTACGCTGGGGGAGGCGGAATCCAAGGAGGTCTTATTTGCGTCAGAAGAGGTAGAAGGAGGGGCGTCGGAGGTGGCATTTGAGGCATATGCGTCGGTGGTGGGAGTGAGAGCCACTCCTGCTGCCAACATGTCCGCACAGTCTGGAGGTGAAGAGAGGGTGAGGGGCGGGATCGGGGGGGACAGTGGGCTAATTGAAGGGGGTTGAAAGGGTGTGCAAGAGGGTGAACGGGGGTGAGAGGGTGGTTCCATCTACAGTGGGGGAGTCCGAACTCAAATAGGTGTTTTTTTTTGGACGAGAAGCGGTGGATGGGGAGGCGTTTGGGTGGCATATGAGGCATGTGTGTGGGTGGTGGGATGGGAGTGAGAGGCACTCCTGCTGCCAACATGTCCGCACCGTCTGGGAGTGAGGAGGGGGCGGGGTGGAAGGTGGAGACATGAGTGGGGGTGACGGAAGCGCTTTGGAAAGCGTCTAGCGCTCTGACAATGTCAAAGCGCGCAGGAAAGCGCTAGTGGCGAGAGGACGGCAGAGCGAAGACACACGAGCGAGGGACGGAGCTGAGAGACGGCTCAGCTCAGCTCAACATACCACCGCAGGAGACGAGGGTGCATGCCTCAGCACCACTCAGCACAGCACCACTCAGAACCAGCCAGCACTACCCAGCACAGCACTCATCACCACTCAGCACGGCACCGCAGCAGCAGCACGGCACCGCAGCAGCAGCACGGCACCCAGCAGCAGCACAGCACCGCAGCAAAAAAGCGTACCTCTGAGCTCTCGGTGCTCCACAGCGAGCCCTCGTGCGCCAACAATCCACCCCCCCCACGCTGCAAACAGCACCAGCTGCCAAGGCAGCCGTAGCGGCCACACACGCCTGAACAGCCGGCCATGCCCCAACGGTCGCCCATGCCCCAATGGGCGCCCATGGCTCAAGGGGCGCCCATGGATCAAGGGGCGCCCATGGCTCAACGGTCTCACATCATCTTGCCTGAACGTCACCCTTCGACAACGCTCAGCCTGGAAGCGAGGCCAAGGCGGGCCTGCCGCTCCCCCTGCTCCTGCTGCTCCTGCCGCCCTTGCTACAGCCTTTGCACTTGCGCCTGCCACTGCGTGTGGCATTGCGTATGGCATGAATGTGTCTCCAGGATCAAAGCTCACTTTGGCACCTTTCAACACCTTTCAACAACTTTCAACGCCTTCAGCGCCTTTCAGCCCCTTGCGCGCCGTGCCTTTGTCATCAACTCCAAGCAGCGTGCGCGCTTGAAGAGCGAGCGAGTGGCAGTGCGCGTGTGCGATGCTTATAGAGAGTCACGACACATGCCATGTGCCTCGGGCTCACGAGTTGCTCGTCCAGGTGATGATCAGTAGAGCCTCGGGAAAACGCTATAATGCACGACGACGCGGCTGCGCCACGGGTTTGCTCAAGCAGGAGAAGGAACACGGAAGAGAAACTCGGAGAGGCCTGGGAGGAGGATCATGCACGACGCATCTGCCCGACAGTACTCTCAGCGCTGGGCAGTGCGGCGCGTCAACTGTGACGGCTGGGTAGTGAGGCGCGTCAGATGTGACGGCTGGGCGCGTGGCAGGCGGCTGAGTGAGAGTTATTGGGTTGCGTTGTGACTGGCTAGTAGCGCGGTTGGGACGAGCAGATGCGCCAGTTGGGGGGGGCGGTTGAGCTGGTTGGGAGAGGAGGGTGCACCGGTTTGGGCAGGCGGTGCGGTAGGACGGGCTGGTGCACGGTGCGGTTGGCAAACTTGCCATCGCGGAGGGGTGCGGTGTGCTTTGTGGTTGAGGAGCATCATGGTTGCGAGCATGGCGTGGGGAGCGTTGCTGCCACACTGATCCTGAGAAAGTGAGGGAGGACGGGCGGGTGGAAGGGAGAGGGGGGAAAGGGGAAGGGAAGCCCCGGCTCGGATAGGGAGGGGAGGGGAGGGAGGGCGGGGAGGAGGTGAAGGAAGTTGGATGGAGGGGGGATGTGACGGAAGGGGGGGCGGGGGACGGAAGGCGAAAAGGAGCAATAGAAGGAGCAGGGGGGAGGGTGTTGCGGCGAGGTACGGGAGAATGGGAAGGGGGAGTGATAAGCAGAGGCGCTAGGAGAGGGAAACCGCGGGGCCTGACGCAGACTGAATCCCATCCCATCGGACGTAGCAATCCTGAAGTGGCCCAGTAAGATTGGACTTCCGAAGGATGAGGTTGCGGGATCATACCCCAGTGCCGGCGAGTTCCGCCAGCCCCCCAGAAGGGGGTTTCGCACTGCTCATCTGGGAGCAATGGGTTGGTGTTTGCGGGCAGCCCATGGTGAGAACGCTGTTCGTCTTGACCTAAATAAAAAGCACCTTCGTTTCACAGTAAAAAACACGTTCGGCTACCAAAATTTTGAATCTGGTTGAAATGTTACAGTACTACAGTAACAGCCCATTCTAGCCCTGACCGACGGCTGCACGAGTGAGGAAAGGTCCAAACTAACCATGGTTGGGGCGGTGGGGCGATGCACTCAGAGTGGGGGGTGGGGAGAGCGGTGGGAAGGCGCGGAGCGCGTCAAGGGCTAAGAGGTGCAGACTGAAGACAGACTGCAGGAGGGGAGGGAGGGCGCGGCGGTGATAGGAGGCGAGAAGACGGCAACGCTCACACCTGAAACTGGTGGCCAGTAAGGTGACATATCATCTTCAGCCACGTAGGTTGGGGGTAGGCTCGTGATAGGTTTTGGTTACAGCCAAAGAAGCCGAATTTCAAATGCCTGTAGTGTGGAAATCGAACCAGCCTCATCCATAAGGGCGTGTTCGTTTTTCCGCAGTGTGCAAAGATTCTAATGAAGAACCTAATATCTGTCTCCAGCTTTATTTGAACACCACGTATTCAAAAGATTCACCCAGCGCATAGGTTTCAGAAATAACCGAACATGAAGTGGTGCTAAAATGTGTAACACTTGGCATTCGATTTTTTTTTTAATGAATCGGACGCGAAACCCTGCCAAAGGTGCACATGACACACACGAATAAAACAATTTGGCATATCGACGTGGCTGTTGTCTTCAATGTCAAACATATATGTTGATATTGTACTAGGCTCTAAGGAGTTTAGCCTTAGGGGGTACAACAATTCTCTCGACATTTTACTTGTCGCCCCTCACCTTTTACCTAATCATCGATTCCTATTTTAACATGGTTTCAGAGTAGGTCCCGTTCTAGGACCGTTTTTTTTTAGGGCCCACCAAATTAGTTCGTTCCTGCCCGGCGTTCGTTTTTGCCCTGCCCTGCCCGACGTTTCTGCCTTGCCCAGCACGCTATCGCACTGCTGCCATGCCCTGCCCAACGCTTTCGCGCTGCCCTGCCCTGCCCTGCCGCGCGCAGCCTGTATAGCCTGCGCGCCACTCGCAAGCAACCCGTACAGCCGCGCGCCGCCCGCGCGCATCCCGAGCAGCCCGCGTAGGGCCCGCGTGCAGCCCGTACAACCCGCTCCAGGCCCACGCGCAGCCTGTACAACCCGCGCCAGGCCCGCGCACAGCCCTGCGCCGCTCGCGAGCGCCTGCCCTGCGCTCCGCCGGCGGCCCGCGAGCTGCCCGCGCACTGCCCACTGCGCGCCCTGCCGAGCCGCAGCTGTTGCCGCCACTGCTGCTGGCCACTGCCGCTGCGGCTACTGGCCGCTGCCACTGCTGCCCTGCCTGCACGCGCTGCTCAGCGCTGCCCTACCCTGCCTGGCCGCCGCCAACGCTGCCCTGCCAATCCGCAGCTGCTGCCTGCTGCTGGCCCACCGCCCGCTGCCCTGCGCGTTGCATTGCTCGCGCCGCCTACGTCCGCCCTGCCTGATCCGCAGCTGCTGCCCTGCGCCGCCCGCTCACGCTCCTGCCCTGCCCCTTCTGCATTGCTGCACCGCCAGCTCGCGCCCTGCCCTGCCCTGCTTGCGCGCCTGCTGCTGCTTCTACTTCCGTGCCGCCACACTAAGCCGTCCAATCGAGCAGCCCTACTGAGCCGCCGCCCCTTCTTGCTGCTACTACCAATTACCGTTACCACCCTTGCTACCGCCTACGCGCGCTCCTACAGCTGCTACCGCTACTGCTCCTACCACTGCTGTCACTGCACCTACCGTTCCGGCTACCGCCGCTGAAATCGCTACTTCAGCCCTTGAGCCGCTACTGCTGACTGACACTGCCTACCATGGCCAATTTCACTGTCCTGCGTCAGCGGCAGCCGAGTGTGCCGGAGTCTCTCTCGCCGCAGCAGCTTCGCGAGTGGGCCATCTGGTGGGGCAGCCCCAGTGGCGGAGCTAGCCGAGCTCGTCGGGGGAAGCCGCTTTCGCCACAGCAGTGTCGTGAGTGGGCGGTCCGGTGGGGCAACTTCGGTGGCTGAACCTGGGGTGCTACTCCTAGAGGTACCTGTGGGTCTACTCCTGCTGGTAGTGCCGCTGGTAGACGTGGAGGTTTTGGGAGTGGACAGCAACGGCAGCAACGGGAGACTCTCTCCCGGCAGCAGCTTCGTGAACAGGCTGTCCGGTGGGGCAGCCCCGGTGGCAGAGCCTGGGGTGTTGAGAACACCCTAGTTTCGACGCCAGCTAGGGTTCAAACCCTAGTTTCGACGCCGCGCACCACGGGGCGCGCGGCGGACAGGGAGTAGCAGTAGCAGCGGAAGCAGTGAAGTGGGCCCACAGGCCAGGAACGTTAAGCTCTGATACCATGTTAGAAACAATAGGAGTGGGGCCTAGGCTTAGTAGCCTAGGCCCACACTAGGAGGTAGTAGGTTGTGCCCTAGGACTAGGGTTTGTGGTATACGAAGGAGAATTGGAGAAGTGAGAATGGGGATACAAATAGCAAACCCTAGAAGGGTTGTACTCGCTACAGAGCACCCCACTACAGGCTAGAGCATAATATTCTGACATGGCGTACTAGTGCTGGGGGTGGAGAGGCACCTGGTGGTGTAGAGGCTACTAGTCTAGGTGCTTGTGACTCAGATAGCACAGGTGCAGAGTCTGAAGAGGCCTTGCACACTTTCCTCCTTGACTCAGGCGCGTCTCGCTGCTTCTTCCGCGACTGCACCACAGTCACACCGCTCACAGCCCCTGTCCCTGTTACTCTGGCCGACCCCTCTGGTGGGCCAGTTGTTGCATGTAGCTCTACTATTCTCCCGTGTCCCGCAGCCCCCTCCGGTTCCCTCACAGGGTTACACCTCCCCTCGTTCGCTAGGAACTTGGTGGCTACTGCTGTCCTCTAGGACCAGTTTGTCAACGTTACCCAGCCTGGGGGAGAGCTCGTGGCGAT